TTTACAATATTGGCGGGAAAGATACACCCTTTGCAGCTATACTACAGCTTGGCGCCAACAGCGACTTTTGGGATCTGTCCACAAGGTTTAGGACTGCGGTGACATGGGGGAAGGGCGGACCATTTTCCACTGGGGGGGGAAGCACATTTGTGGGTCAGGCACTGATGTCCCCAGAGGACACCAATACAGTGATCAGTGAAAAAAAAACCACTCTGAAACTGTACAAATGTCACTTGGGGTTGAGGAAGGGGTTAACATTTTTAGAATTCCTCCAGTGTAAGGGGATCTGTTTTACTATGGGGCGGGGGTGTGCACTGGAGGGGGGGGGGGAGGGAGTCATGGGAGGAACAGGAGGGGAGAAGCTCTGCAGCTTCTCACAAGCTGTCAGAGAACTCCACCACAATTGGGCTAAATGTGTTGGTGCAGCCCTGCTCTGTGTTAGCGATCACTGGCAATCGCGGGCCCAACCCCTGTAAAAAACGGCCCACATCCGTCCCCCTCCACCGCTGTGACACCCGCGGGACAATGCCCCTACCTGTTTTGAAGTAGCCGTTTAAAACGTGCTTTTGCCTACGAGCGCCGCCCTGCCACCGTTTATATGCGGTGGGCTGGGCACCAAGTGGTTAAGATGCTTCAAAGCCTGAGGGCTCGTTCACATTAGATAAAAGTCCAGTGCTTTTGTTTCTGCAATAAAAATGCATGCACAGTGTATTTCCATGTAACCAATGGTGATCAGAAGTTCACACCATTGCAGTCAGTTCCAGACAGTTTCCAGTGTAGAAAAAAAAGTAGAACATGCTGCATTTTTTCTGACACAACCGTACTGGAACATAACCAACTGCATTAAAACTCTGTGTGGTCAGTGAACTGTAACGCAAAAACGTATCGCTCCATCGGAGTGTCAGTTTTTATGGTGTGAACCGCCCCTCAGTCTCTACCATTCCTACAAGCTGCAAAAGGCTCCACCTGGAAATTATGACTACAGTATTACGCTACAACTTCATGAGACAATCACCCTCTTGAAAATGCCATTCTATGAGCAAAAAGGTCTTGCTTCAATATTAATGATCTCCTAAACCCATAAAAGCATTAAAAACATTTTTTTTAAAAAAATCTAATCTTACCTCTTCCTTTTTTCAGTGACTTCTGATTGGAATCAATGCTGTAGGCAGAGAATTAACAATTTTAGAAAGAGAGGGTCTAAAGTGACAGCATATACATAATATTGCCAAATGTATTGGGGCCCCCTGCCTTTCCACACACATGAACTTTAATGGCCCCCCAGTCTTAGTCCGTAGGGTTCAATATTGAGTTGGCCCCGCCCTTTGCAGCTATAACAGCTTCAACTCTTCTGGGAAGGCCGTCCACACCCTGGTTTAGGAGGGTGTCTATGGAAGGTCTTGACCATTCTTCCAGAAAAGCACATTTGTCAGGTTGGCACTGATTGGTGAGCCTGGCGCAGTCTCTGCTACCCCATTTTTCATCCCGTGTTACACAGTGGGGTTGTTGACTCTGGCAAGCATTAGAGTTCCTTGACCCCAAATTTATTCACATGGACCTTGCTTTGTGAACTTTCGTCATGTTGGATAGGGGCCATCCCCAATCCTTTCCCTCAAGTTCTACCAGACAATTGTATAGTGTTTCTTACCTGTATGCACTGACGTCACTTTGAACTTCTTCACTTAAGGAGTCTAGCCCATGTGAAATACGTAACCTTCATCTACCATATTAGCGCCCTGCACAAACTTTTACTTGGCACAATGCAGTCAATCAAGTACCATTCTCCTAGAAACTGCCAGTCATGTCCATTGGATTGCCAGACAGAGTAGCGTGATTGGTCACTCCAGAGAACGCATCTCCACTGCTCTATAGTCCAGTGGCAGCGTGCTTTACACCATGGCGTCTGACGCTTTGCATTGCACTTGGTGATGTAAGGCTTGGATGCAGCTGCTCGGCCATGGAAACCCATTCCATGAAGCTCTCTATGTGCTGTTGTTGTGCTAATCTGAAGGCCACACCAAGTTTGGAGGTCTTTAGCTATTGACTCTTGAGACAGTTGGCGACTCCTGCGCACTGTGTGTGCTTCTGCATGCGCTGACCCTGCTCTGTAATTTTATGTGGCCTACCACCTTGTTATAACTATTGTTCCCAGTTGCTTCCACTTTGTTATAATACGACTAACAGTTGACCGTGGAATATTTAGTAGCCAGGAAATGTCACGGATGGACTTATTGCCCAGGTGGCACCTATCACGGGACCACGCTTGCTTGGGAGTCACTGAGCTCCTGAGAGCGACCCATTCTTTCACCAATGTTTGTAGAAGCAGTCTGCATGCCTAGGTGATGATTTTATACACCAATATCCATGGAGGTGTTTGGAACACCTGAAACTAATGAATTGGAGGGCTGCCCAATACTTTTGGCAATAAAGTGTATATTGGTCTCATGACAGGTGTACTTCAAGTGCCTAAAGGAGGCACAATAACAGCATAGAAATGCTGTGTTAACTAGTTGCCGACCGCAGATAGCCCGAATGACGGCTGCACTGCGGGCCGGCCAGTTCTGAGTGGACGTCATTTGAATGACTCCCAGAACGCGCTCTCCAACACTGTACGCCCGGCGATCTCCGTGATCGCTGTGTCCTACAGACACAGCTGATCACGTGATGTGGTAAAAGGCCAATCACAGCGAGATTTTTTTTTACCACGTGATCAGCGGTGTCCAATGACACGCTGATCAAAAAGAGGGAAATGCAAGTGCCGGTTCTCGGCTGCACTTTCCTCACGCTGTCAGATCGTGAGGAAAGTACTGCCGAGAACCGGCAGTTGTCAGAGCGGGGATCGGCACCGATCATCAGGGCACTGATGATCAGTGCCCTGATGATCGGTGCCCAGCAGTGCCACCCGCAAGTTCCGCCCATTTTTGCCCAGCAGTGCGCCCACTAGCTCTGCCCACCTGTGCCCAGCAGATCACCCACCTGTGCCCAGCAGTGCACCCACCTGTGCCACTCTGCAGTGCCACACACCTGTGCCCAGAAGTGCTACCTACCTGTGCCCAGAAGTGCCACCCACCTGTGCCCACCCACCTGTGCCCACCAGTGCCACCCACCTGTGCCCACCCACCAGTGCTGCCCACCAGTGCCACCCACCAGTGCAGCCCAGCAGTGCTGCCAGTCAGTGCCACCAGTCAGTGCCCAGCGGTTGTGCCAGTCAGTGACGTCTATCAGTACCCATCATCAGTGTCACCTATCAGTGCCGCCTATCAGTGCTGCATATTAGTGCCGCCTATCCGTGCCACCTCATTAGTACTGCCTATCAGTGCCCTTTAGTGCTGCCTATCAGTGCCCATCAGTGCCGCCTATCAGTGCCTACATCAGTGCTGCCTCATCAACGCACATCAGTGAAGGAGAAAAATGACCTGTTTGAAAAATTTTATAATAGAAATAAAGAAACTTTTTTTTTTCAAATTTTTTGCACTTTTTTTATTTATAGCGCAAAAAGTAAAGCGCCCAGTGGCGATTAAATACCACCAAAAGAAAGCTCTATTTGTGAGAAAAAAATGATCAAAATTTCATATGGGTACAATGTTGCATGACCGCGCAATTGTCAATCAAAGTGCGGCAGCGCTGAAAGCTGAAAATTGGCCTGGTAAATAAGGGGGTATAAGTGCCTGGTAGGCAAGGGGTTAAAGACAACTCTGTGCAAAATAAATTGCTCTGTGAATTGACTGATGTTTACTTTGCTATTCACACTTCTGTGACAGTGAAAGCTTTTTGACAAACAAAGGTATCACTTAGATCTGACTTCATACTATAGATCTGACACCACTACTATAGATTACAAATCGTGTACTAAACACATTCTTGTTTACTAAAGCTGGAGACTGCAAAATCTGGTGCAGTTCTGCATAGAAACCAATCAGCTTCCAGGTTTTATTGTCAGAGCTTAATTGAACAAGCTGAAGTTAGAAACTGATTGGCTGCCACTCACAGCTGGACCAGATTCTGAGTGCTCCAGTTTTCGTAAATCTCCCCCACTATTTATTTTACATGGTTTCTTCTCTTTCTGTATATGGATGATGGCACTGTAATTATTTTATTTAAAACAATTGAAATACCTTCTTTCCTAATCGATATACAGCTGTCACATGAACCCAACTATTTCCCAGCCTGTATGCAAGGAAACATAAGCAGGAGGAGCTTCTAGTTCTCTGCTGCTGGTCACATGACCAAAATAAAAAACAACAGCCTTTGGGATACATAGTAAAAATAAATAATTAACATCAAATAAACTGTTTTAAATTGTTATACAAATATATATTTGAATTCAAATCTTTATTATTTTTTTGGTAATAACATGATGTGTGTGGATTTCTGCCAGTCACAGGCTGTGTCATGCCCTTCCAGTCTGTCGAAGCCTCCATCCTTCAAGATGTAATCCTCCACCTTCATTGTTTTTAGCTGGTTAGTGGGCAAGGAGTGGGCTGTCACTTACCACTTATCACGGTGTATACACCCACATGTGGGACTCCATAGTCACAAGGGCTGCTCAGATGTGATAGGGAAGAAATGCTTGAAGTAGAAAATACACTGAAACCTGAGCATCTGCAACAGCTGCCAGCACTGATCTGCAAAATCCCCAACTGCAGTCAAGGGGGTCTGGCTGCAGACTGGAGCTCCACTTGACAGGAAACATGACCTCCACCCCAACCTTTTTTTTTAATGAACTTTAATGTAACAAACAACCAATACACACAACTTGAGAAAGTGGAGGTCACATGTTTATTGTCACATCTGCATTTCCTAAGAGTATCTGGCTGCAGACTGAAGCTTAACTCTTGACAGGAAACATGTGACCTCCACAGGTTTTTAGTTTTTTTTTTTAAATAAAAAAAACATAACCCTTTTGCTGCCAAAGCCATTTTTGCATTTTTTGCACTCATTTTTAAAATCATTTTAGACTTGATGATTACACAAAACCCCCAAATCTTATATATTGTCTGAAAGCAGACACCCTAGAGCACTTGTGTCAAACTGGCGGCCCTCCAGCTGTTGCCAAACTACAAGTCCCATGAGGCATTGCAAGATTGACAGTTACAAGCATGACTCCCAAAGGCAGAGGCATGATGGGACTTGTAGTTTTGCAACAGCTGGAGGGCCGGCTGTTTGACACCCTTGCCCTAAAGAATAAGGGGAACGTATCAACGTAAACAGACGCCTACGCTTGAAAGCATCAATTGCGATACACATGTTACATATCGCCGTGCATGCCGGAGTGAGAGTAATATTTCTAGCACCAGACCTCCCCGTAACACTAAACTGATGGCCTACAGGGGGCTTTTGAAGCGTCGGCTGGAGAAAATATAGGGCACTGAAGTTTGTTTCCATTTCACAGGAACACACAAATTTCAGGTTTGACATGTTGAGTATCTTTTCTCTCAGGGCCACCTCATCTTTTATATTTTGCAGAAAATGTGTGCATTTCCTAGACTTATGTGATAATATCATGTAACATAAAAAATTGGAACTACCGCTATTTTAATCCCTAGGGTGTCTGCTTTCAGAAAATATATAATTTTGGGGGGTTTTGAGTAATCCTTCAGGTCTAAAATTATTATTTTTTTAAATGTGTGCAAAAAATGCAAAAACAGCTCTGGCAGCAAAAGGGTTAAAGTTGATTAGAGAAATAAAAATGGTGGAGGTCACATTTTCCTGTCTGCAGCCAGATACGCTTGAGAAATGCAGATGTGACAGGAAACGTGACTTCCATGAATTGTGTCTGTTAGTTGTTTGTTACATTAAAGTTCATTTTAATAAAAAGTTGGAGTGGAGGTCACATGTTTCCTGACAAATGGAGCTCCAGTCTGCAGCCATTGGTTGTTTGTTACATTAAAGTTCATTTTAAAAAAAAATGATGGAATGGAGGTCACATGTTTCCTGACAAGTGGAGCTCCAGTCTGCAGCCATTGGTTGTTTGTTACATTAAAGTTCATTTTAAAAAAAAATGATGGAATCGAGGTCACATGTTTCCTGACAAGTGGAGCTCCAGTCTGCAGCCATTGGTTGTTTGTTACATTAAAGTTCATTTTAAAAAAAAATGATGGAATGGAGGTCACATGTTTCCTAACAAGTGGAGCTCCAGTCTGCAGCCATTGGTTGTTTGTTACATTAAAGTTCATTTAAAAAAAAAATGATGGAATGGAGGTCACATGTTTCCTGACAAGTGGAGCTCCAGTCTGCAGCCATTGGTTGTTTGTTACATTAAAGTTCATTTAAAAAAAAAAATGCTGGAATGGAGGTCACATGTTTCCTGACAAGTGGAGCTCCAGTCTGCAGCCATTGGTTGTTTGTTACATTAAAGTTCATTTTAATAAAAAGTTGGGGTGGAGGTCACGTTTCCTGACAAATGGAGCTCCAGTCTGCAGCCATTGGTTGTTTGTTACATTAAAGTTCATTTAAAAAAAAAATGATGGAATGGAGGTCACATGTTTTCCTGACAAGTGGAGCTCCAGTCTGCAGCCATTGGTTGTTTGTTTCATTAAAGTTCATTTAAAAAAAAAATTGGAGTGGAGGTCACGTTTCCTGTAAAAAGTGTAGCTCCAGTCTGCAGGCAGACCCCTCTCACTGCAGTGGGGACATGGACAGAAGGAGGGGATGGAGAACAGCAGGATTAACCTTTTTTTTTTTGCAGAATACATAAAATGAATCCCATAGTGAATGAATGGTTATGAATACCATGTAATACAGCATATATTGATAGATTTTAATGATGTGGTTTTAATGACACTTTAACTAGTTGAGGACACGTATTCTTTTAATTTAACTGTATATTTCTTGCTGCTACCATAACCTACCACCTACCAACAACACAAAATCATTTCTAATGCTCCTGACAATCGCAACAATACCACACATGTCTATGTTAGTTGTTTGTACCCATAGTACAGAAACAATAGTATGCATTTTGCTTTTTTTTAACTGACAGTGTTAAAAATTTAAAAAATTCATGAGCAAAAAAAAAACTGACCCTGACCCTTGACCCTGACCTTTAACGCTGACCTTCTCCTTTGACCCTGACCATGACCCAAATAAATCTGCTTTAAGATAAAAGCAATGTTGTTTTTGTAAGGACATAGCCATTGCTAAATTAACCGCATGCCACCCAGCCACTGTATAAATACTGCGGCAGGGCGGCACGCCTGGGCAAAAGCACGTTTTAAAACGTGCATTTTGTAAACAGGTAGGGGGCTCGCGCGAGGCGCGCCGCTCCCCTACCTGTCCCGCCGATCACAGCCGCGGATGTCAGTCGCCGGGACATAGCCAGTCGTTGCTATGTCCCAGCGATCGGCGGCAATCGCTGACAGAGAGCACAGCTGCAGTAGCTGTGCTTTCTGTCAGTTCCCTGACAGCTCTAGGACAAGCTGATCAGGACAGAAGAGTTTCTCTCTCCCGATCAGCGGTGTTCTCTGCAGTACACACCCCCGCCCCCTAGTAAAACACTCCCCCTCACACAGTTAACCCTTTCCCTGAATAATTAAACTTAACCCCTTCCTCCCCAGTGCCATTAGTACAGTGTCAGTGTTTTTTGCACTGATCACTGTATTGGTGTCACTGGGGATGTCAGTGACCCCAAGTCAGTACCCCCCAATGTCAGAATGTCCGCCGCAGTCCCGCCATAAGTCGCTGATCGCCGCCATAAGTCACTGATCGCCGCCATTATTAGTATTAAAAAAAACCTAAAAATCCCAGTATCTTTCCCACCATTTGTAAAATTTATATAACTTTCACGTAAACCAATTAACTTACACGTACTGGGTTTTTTTTTAGCAAGGACATGTCGCAGAATGCATTTTGGCAGAAATTTATGACTAAATTTGATTTTTAAATTTTTTTTACTGGACATGTTTTATAGTAAAAAGTCCAAAATATTGTTTTTTTTTTTTTCTCAAAATTGTCAGCCTTTTTTTTTATAGAGCAAAAAAATAAAAACCGCACAGGCGATCAAATACCACCAAAAGAAAGCTCAATTTGTGTGAAATAAAAGGATGTAAATTTCATTTATGTACTGTATTGCATGACTGCGCAATTGTCCGTTAAACTAGCGCAGCGCTGTATAGCAAAAAAATGGCGCAAATTGCAGCATTTATACCATAGTTTGTAGACGCTATAACTGTCACACAAAGCAATCAATATACACTTATTGGGATTTTTTTTACCAAAAACATGGAGCAGAATACATTTTGGCCTAAATTTATAACCAACTTTGAGTTTACTATATATGTTTTTATAGCTGAAAGTAAAAAATATAGTTTTTCTTCAAAATTTTTGGCCTTTTTTTGTTTATAGCGTGAAAAATAAAAAGCGCACAGGTGGTCAAATACCACCGAAAGAAAGCTCTATTTGTAGGAAAAAAAGGACGTAAATTTTGTTTGGGTGCAGCATTGCATGACCGCGCAATTATCAGTTGAATTAGTGCAGCGCCGAGTAGCAAAAAGAGGCCTGGTCATTAAGGGGGGTAAATCCTCTGGAGATCAAGTGGTTAACAGGTCCATAGCAGAAATGTAAATAATGCTCTGGTCCATTTGGAGAATACAGGTTTGAGAAGTGAATTGGTTAAAGTCCAATTTGAGCTAAAACGTTTTTTAACCACTTGAGCTCCAGAAGGTTTTACCCCCTTCATGACCAGACCATTTTTTGCCATTTGGCACTGCACTACTTTAACTGGAATTTGCTCAGTCATGCAACACTGTACCCAAATAAAATTTATAAAAAAAATTTCACACAAATAGAGCTTTCTTTTGGTGGTATTTAACTGATTCCCGCCTGGCCAATGGCACAAAGCTGGCCGGCAAAACACCTCATCCCTCTGGGTGGATGCCGTATGGCGTCCTTTCAGGCATGCGCAGTGCGCCTGCCCGCAGGGCCGTTCTGTGGCCCGAATTGTCACCGACCGTGTACCTCGGATGACAGTTCTGTGTACCGGCCCCGTTTCCAGTACCATGTGACCTGCTGTGACCAATCACAGCAGGTCACATGACAGTTATATACAATGGATGGCTTCCTTTCATGCCATCCATTGTATACAAGTGTGTCTAGCTGTGAATGGTCACAGCGATCACATGCACAAGCTGGGCCAATCACAGCCCAGCTGTGTCATGTGATTAGCCATGGCCAAATCACAGCTAAGCACAAAAAAAACCCCCTGAATGAATCGATGTCATTCAGGCAAAATGCTTGCTTATAGCAAAGTAATTCTTTGCTATAAGCAAATTGTGTAAAAAAGAAAAAAAAAAATACTGATCACTTCCCCAAAGTAGTACAATGTTACTATGGTAACATTATACTACTTTGGTCATAATGAAATATGAAAACAAAATCTTAAAATAAGAGAAAAAAAGTAATAAAAAATTAAAACTAATAAAAAAAGTTAAAAAAAGTAAAAAAAAATTTAAATTATTTTTTTTTTTCATACTGTCACCAGTCAGTGCCCCTGATCACCGCCATGCCAGTTATATGATGATGCTGTACTGCACTGGTGACAGTATGTAAAAAAAAAATAGTGAAAATAATTTTTTACATTTTTTTATTTTCCAAAAAATTATGAAAAAAAATTACAACTTCAAAAAACTCGCCATGCCTGTTATGAAGTACGTTGGACTGTCTACTTTGCAAAAAGTGTTAATTTGGGAGATATCTGTACTGATCTGACATTCTTGGACCTCAAGAAATTAGATTGTCCATCAGTACTTCAGGATTGATCAATATTCAGATCTATACCATAGCTTGTGAACTCTATAACTTTCCTACAGACTACATAATACATCCTAATTTGGGTTATTTTCAACAAAAACATGTAGTAGAATACATCTTGGCCTAAATTTATGAAGAACAATTATTTATTTGCAAACATTTATAACGAAAAACGTGATTTTTTTCAAACTTTTTGGTCTTTTTTTTTGTTAATTTAGCAAAAAATAAAAAACCCCAGTGTTGATTAAATACCACCAAAAGAAAGCTCTAGTTGTGTGAAGAAAATAATAAAATTTTAGTTTGGGTACAATGTTGTATGAGCGCGCAATTGTCATTCAAAGTGTGAGAGCGCTGAAACCTGAAAAATGGCCTGGGCAGGAAAGGGGGTAAAAGTGCCCGGTATGGAAGCAGTTAATCACCACTGTGTTTTTTGTTATTTATTATATAAATAAAAAAAAGACCACAAATTTTGAAAAAAAAAACAATATTTTCTATTTTGTGTTATAAAACATATCAAATAAAATCAAATGTCTACATAAATTAGACCAAAATGTATTCTGCTACAAGTCTTTGGTGAAAAAAAAAAAAAAATCCCAATAAGTGTATATTAATTGGTTTGTGTGAAAACTATGGTATATATATAT